ATTTATTAAAAATATTAATATTTAATAATAAATTAAATTTTTTTTAGAAATTATAAAATTTAAATTATAATATTAATTATTTTCAATTAAAATTAGAATCTTAATTAATGTAAATTGAAATTTTATCTTGGTTAATTATAATATTTGACAAAAAAATTTTGAATTTCAAAAACAAAATGTTGTAAAAAAATAAAAATATATATACTATATTTAACATTTTTCAAAAGCTTAAGAAGCAGCTTGTCAACAGTTAGAAAGAATTCGTTAGTCAGTTAACAGAATGCTTGTCAAGTAGATCATTTGAAACAAAATTGATGGTTTATAGATCATTTTGAAAGAAAATTTTATTTTTAAATTAAGTTGAAATAAATCACATAATTAATAGACTATTTATTAAATGTAATCTAAAAGTGCTGAAAAACCCTGTAATAAATTTTTTATGTTAATTTATTAAAAATATTTTAATTCTTTTATTATCAGTAATAACATTTTAATTAAAAAAATACTTTAATTTCTAACAATCCTAAAATTAACATTTGAAAAAGACAATATCTAAAAATCTCTCTGATCATCTCCATAACTACCCCTACGCCTGAGACTGCCCGGCGATCAGCAGCATCGGCTGTCCATTTCAAATTTAAGGCAAAGGTACAGGTGGCAAAATCTAACTCCACTAGTTAATTTTTTTTTTTTTTGACAAAGGTAATTGTTAGAAAATTAGTATGAATTAGTTGTTAGCAACTGATTCTCAAACCGGGTGAACATTTCATCCCTTCAAATGAAGCGTGCGGCCATCAAGCCGTTTTTTGGAACTCCACTAATTAAGTTAATCTTTCGTAAAATGTGGATTAGGGTCAATTATGGTTAGGTCCGTGATTTTTTTAGATCAACCCAAATGGGTTACAGATGATACACAAGTTAAATTATAGGTTTATTGTTTAATTTATTTTAAAAAAATTTTAAAGCATCTTTATTAAGTAATTTTTTAAAATAAAATATCTCACGAATATAATTTTGAGAAAAATCTAATATAATATTATAATTTAAAAAATTAAATTATGATGTATTATTTTTCAATAAAGTAAGAAAAAACTATATTCATTACTGTAAAAATATGTTCATAATAAATCTAATGAATATATTTTGTCATAATGAATACATTTGTTTAATGTAGTTTAAAATAAATAATTTAAATGAATATATATTTTTGTTTTTAAGTAGGATTTTTTGTTTAATTAAAAGATAAATTTTAAAGTGCATCATTTTCCTTTTATAACTGATATCAATGCTTAACATATGATGCCAATTCTTGTTTAGTTAAAAATAACTTATAGTAAATTATGTCACATTAATTATGAATTTATATAAATATTAGAAAGTCACTTATACTTTAAATAACAATAAACTTTTTTAAAAAATAAAATCAAATAT